GTGGATGTCAGCGAACATGTTGAGCCTGTAGCAACAGCGCGAGGACTGCGTTCCAGATGTCGACACCCAGCCACATCGAACGCCAAGGTCCACCTGCCCTCAATCTTGTTCCTTTCTTTTTCGCTTCCTCGTATATCCCCAGGCTTATAAATTTTAGCATGTGCCCCAGCGTCTTTATCGTCGTCGTCCTTATAGTGGTTCACCCCGGAGCACAGGAAATCTTTTGAGCGCACATGGCCTTATGAATACTTTACATCACAAGGTTATCACTTGCATTCTGCCAAAAGTCAAATCGTGCTACTACCAAAAAGAATGACATTTGCTCTCTCCTTTATTTTAAACATTTTGCAGCTTAGATGGGTCATGATAAATATGCATATTTTTCTTATAATATGTGGTACACACTGTTCGTATTAGAAATTATTTACCTAAATCACTGTTTGCTTCAAGTTGGCTACGAACTTAAAATTCACTATTGCACAAGCTTATAGTGAAATTGCATGAAATTTATCCAGATGTAAGGGTGGTGTTGAATTGAAAGCTGCTTAAAACATTTTGGACTGCGAGTATTGTACAAAAATTTAGGCTAAAGTAAGGCTAGGTGCACAAAAAAAAAAAAAACTCCGGAATAGATTTTTGTCAATGAGTATAGTGGAGTCATGTACGATCATGTGTGATTGGATGTGGTCTTCTTATTGGCATGCTTGGCAATCATAGTACTATCTTCAGAAGGATTTCCAGGTATTCCAACGGCGCAGAAAGGTGAAGCTTCATGCATTAATGGCTGTTCAATTGGGACTGCTGCAGTAGTGCACCGCTGCAGATTAGTGCCTTTCATTCATCGGAGTGTCTGGTCTGTCGCAATGGAAAGCTACAAGTTAATTTAATTGACTGTCATCAAGAGAAAATTGGTAATAACAGAAAAGGACTGCTTATTAGGGGTGTGTGAATGCTCAAAATTTCAAACATTTTTAAAAGAGTGTTTGCTATTTGGCTCAATTCACACTGGTATCTCACTCTTTGAAACTATTCGAACTTTTGAAGGACGAGTACAGTCAACTTTGAATTGCCAGTGGCCCCTTCAAATTTTCTATAATGCAGTGACTATGGTGACGAGGCCCGTTAACGCAGTACTATCGTTAAAGTGAGGGGGCCCATCAGTGCAGTAAAACCATGATTACGGTGACAGGGCCCGTCATAATAGCGATGCCGCATTAGCGCAGGCCCCTTCATCGTAATGTAATGGTAAAAATGAGGGAGAGGGGGCGTTGCCATAAATTTGTAGTCGTTATAGACGCCACTGCCTATCTGTTCTGGTGGTGCAGTGGGTTGACACGCAATTGGGGATGTGGTCAGTGCCACAGATCGTCAGTACAAATCTCGTTTTCTTATTTTTTCATTTTGTATAATGCATCAATATTGACGTTACTGCTTTCAAGGTGTCGTAATTTTGCTTTTTTGCAAGAAAATCGCGTCGCTGTTTGTGCCTCTTGTTAGCCCTACCGCGCTGATCTTTTGAGACGCAGAGGGTACATTATTGATAATTGATTGATATATGGAGTTTAACGTCCCAAAACCACCATATGATATGAGAGATGCCGTAGTGGAGGGCTCCGGAAATTTCGACCACCTAGGGTTCTTCAACGTGCACCCAAATCTGAGCACACGGGCTTACACATTTCCGCCTCCATCGGAAATGCAGCCGCCGCAGCCAAGATTCGATCCCGCGACCTGCGGGTCAGCAGCAGAGTACCTTAGCCACTAGACCACCGCGGCGGGACAAGAGGGTACATTATTGGTTTGCAACTTCAGTTTGAGGCGTGCTGACCAACTGAACTTCTGCAACGGGGTTCTTTAAATAATAAAGATATAAGAACAAGTTGCGTCGGAGACAGCGACGTTCTAAAGGAACTGGCGAGGCTGTTTTCTTTTTCTGTTCACTTTAAAAAAACACATACAAACAGGACACACAACTAGGGCGTTATATGACGACACAACGCAAATGTATCATCATCATCAGCCTGACTACGCCCACTGCAGGGCAAAGGCCTCTCCCACCATCCGCCAATCAAACAGGTCTAGTGCTATCTGTTTCCACGTTATACCCGCAAACTTTTTAATCTCATTGGCCCACCTAACTCTGTCTCCCCTTGTGCGTTTGCGTTCTTTGGAAACCCAGTCAGTTACCCTTAACGACTACCGGCTATCTTGCCTACGTTCTACATGTCTGGCCCATGTCCATTTCCTTTTCTTGGGTTCAACTATGATGTCCTTAACGCTGGTTTGTTCCCCGATCCATTCTGCTCTCTTCCTGTCTCTTCAGGTTACACCTATCATTTTCCTTTCCATCGCTCGCTGCATCGTCCTCAATTTAAGCTGAACCCTCTTTGTAAGCCTCCAGGTTTCTGCTTCGTAACAAAGTACTGGCAAGATGCAACTGTTATATACCTTTCTCTTGAGGGATAGTGGCAGACTACCAGTCATGATTTGAGAGTGCTGGCCAAATGTGCTCCACCCCATTCTTTTTCTTCTAGTTACTTCAATCTTGTGGTTCGGCTCGGAGGTTATTACCTGTCCTAAGTAGACATATTCCTTAACTTGCTGCGCCTCTCCTCGTATCACAAAGTGCTGTTTTCTGCAGAGATAGTTGCACATTACTTTAGTCTTGTGCATATTAATTTTCAGACCTACTTTACTGCTTTCCGTGTCCAGTTCAGTACTCATGAACAGTAATTCGTCCCCTGAGTTACTCATCAAGGCAATGTCATCAGCGAATCCCAGGTTACTAAGGTACTCTCCATTAACTCTTATCCCTAACTCTTCCCAGTCTAGGGTCCTAAATACCTTCTGTAAACACGCTGTGAATAGCATTGGAGAGATTGTCTTTCCCTGCCTTACACCCTTCATTATTTGGATTTTTTTGCTTTCATTATGGAGAACTATAGTGGCTGTGGATCCTCTGTAGATTTTTTCCAGTATGTTTATGTGGGGTTCTGCGATGCCGTGATTCCGTAGTGCCTGCATTACTGCTGTTAGCTGTTAAAGAATAAACAAGCGCTGCATTACTGCTGTTAGCTGTTTTAGCTGTTAAAGAATAAACAAGCACTGCATTTAAGGTTGTATGCTATTTTGCTGACTTTTTGCGGTAGTAAATAAAAAAAACACTCTGGTAAATAGACATAGGAAACAGTGGCGCCCTCAGATGGGAGTCAGCTATATATATTAGTAATTACACCAATGGTCAGCCTAATAACGTAAAGTAAAAAAGGGAAAATAAGCAGCGAATGATTCCTAGTTCTAGAAAGCGGCAAAAGGAGAAAAAAAAAGTTCATAAAAAGCAATGCCGTGTTCGCATCAGTCACCACAAAGTGTCAGCTTGAAAGTGACTCTTGGCACCCACTTCCTACACAGCGATAAGTCCACGCGACATGTTCAGCTCGCACGTGCTAGGTATTGTCCTATGTTTAACGGTCCCTGGTCTACGTGGCTTCGTCTAGGTGGCTACGTGGCTTGTTTAAAAAACACTAAAAATAGCACTTAGCACCGAAAGTCTCTAGAGTACATTTTCATTTTTTCACACCTTTGTTGATGCTTGGTGCAATAAATAATAAAAGATAAATTTTAAAAAAGATGAGCACACACCTTGGGAATATGCAGTTTAGATTGTGGTGGGTATCACTTTTGTATTTTGCCATTTTTCACTTTTGTTATTGTGGTGGCATGTCAATTTTGATTTGATTTATTTTTGGTCGGCTTTGTTTGCGGCATCTTTGGTTTTGTGCGCATCGTGGAAGCGCAGCGTAGCATGCGTATATATTGGCTTCAAGACACGACAATAAACAGTTGGTAGTCTGCGCTCTTTCCTGTCTCCCTTGTTTTCCTTCAAGTTTGTGCAGCAATTCAATTTTTCAACTTGAAGTTGCGCCAAACCATGTTCATGATTACACTTTGGCCCCAGCATTGCCTCATGCTTCATAAGAAAACGGTGAAACAGCCCTTGTGCTTCAACAATCTAGCGGAAAGAAACACCTTTGACGTTGCTCATAATAATATGCTTAGGAATCCTCTCTGACTGCAATTTGGCTTGAAAAAGATATTTATTCAAGTTCACTGTGCATCAACTTTGCATTTTGTCTAGCACCAAGCTTGAGGCATGTAACCAGAAATTATGGATAACTGCCGATACTTCGTATCAGTACTAGACACCTATTTTACAAGTGTGAGAAGGTGTGGATTAGCCATCTGTCATCGGCCCAGAACAGGGTGTAAGAAAAACAGTTCAGGTGTGGACACACTCTGCCCGCCGCAACAGAGACCCTGTCCAGAAAATGTTTGGCTTTAGCACATGCGACGGCTGCAGTATCGTGTTCCAAAAGCGAAGGGGCGCTGTGACATGGGGGCTTAGAGGGACCGATGTGATGAGGCAAACGCGTGTTCTGCCATTTTGCTCTCTTGTATTTTTTTTTAAACACTGTACATGATAACAACTAAAACTATGAACGCGTGCCGCAATTTTCGTGACAGAGAAACACCACATGCAGCGAACGCTGCAGTTGCCTCCAGAGTGTTCTCCCGTATGCAACGTTGTTATGGACGCGTTCGTACGCAGCTCGTCATCTACAGGACATACGACGGCCGTAGTTGCTTGGGGGTTTACTGCGGCATGAGGGCCTAGAGGGTCTGAAAGTGCCAAACATCTGGCACCGTGGCCTAGAGCTTTGCTGTTGTGTGTCAAATTGTTTGTGCAAGTGTTGTTTTGTTTCAAAAAGTAGTAATGTCTCACGCCATACCTCATTGGGCTTAAATAAGTATGGTAAGTGGAAAGCCTATTTCTACTAGCTGTTTAGATGTATTGTAAAGTGCAGAAGAATAACAGCATCCGACTTGGCTACAAGACTCGCAACAGTCAAAGAAGAGCATGTTGCAAACAATGCTACCTTGACTGTGTGTGCAAGAACTGCTGGCTTCATTTTCACCAGCACTGCTTGCTGCCCCTGCAGGACAGAGCATCGCAAGCAGGCCCTGTCTGAACTCGTGCCGCTCACTAAGGATGGCTCACCGGAGCTGTGGGACGAGAATTTCAGGAACGTACTAAGGTGCCTTGTGGAAAACCTTGAAGAACAAGTGGTGAGGATTCATGCCTAACACTCCTTGACACCCACCAGATGTCGTACTTGCATGTACTCTTGTTAACCATTCATTTTTCACAACTACGCCTGCGGAATTCCTCATGCTTGAAAATAGTATGAAGTTTCACCAAAATTAGTTTACAAGAAGAAAGTGGGATTTTCTTCGAAAAAGTGGGGCAACACCTGTCCCATTGTCTCATAAGGGTGCCAAGCTGTCACTCTTTTGCCAAATTTGTAGGACGAAAAAGCCCGATACAAGGGGTACTCTAGAGGGACACTTCAAAAACTGTGGGATACTCTATTTGTGTGGCTCTGTTTGCTGCATTCAGCCCGGTAGCTGTCTGAGGTCTTCGCATATGAGGATCCTTTCTGCTTGTTTGGTTGGTGTAGATAAGGACGAACACTTCAGTTATGGCTCAACTTCTGCCCATATATAAAATTCTGGTCATGAATCGCAGCAACCCACATTGATGTAATGTCACTTAATGCATTGAATTCTGTGTGTTCACAACTGATGTATCGATAACTCTGTTCAGGCCTGAAATATTAGCTATTCTCATAGATCTTGTGCATTTGTCTTCTGTTTCACTTTCTCGCTGTCTAAAGCACCAATTTAGTCATTCTTTTCCTATGTCCCTCAATTTGAAAAACACTTTCAGCTCCAGATTTTCGTACAATTGCAACTGTTTTTGTTGTGGTAAAAGAAGTGTGGTCTTCTTCATAACAAAGTGCTGTTTTGTCACGTAATCATGCTTTTCTAAGTTGGAAAACTTTGCAAGCCAAAAACTTTGCAAGCCAAAAATTTAATAAAAGACTTTGCAATTTGACAGTGTTGAGCAGTAATATTAGCCAAAAATGTATACCAGCTGTTCAATAGAAAGCTGTTGCCTGGAGACGAGGAAAATTTATTCTACAAAAAAATTATTTACAAAGGTCCGCTACATGTTTAATATGTCGAGAGGGCCTTCTCGGCCAGTTTCCAGAAGCTTTGGTTTTGCTCGTAGCGTTGTGCCAGACACAGGGTCCCGTATAGTTTCACTAGCCCCTCATATTGCGTAGTCGTCAGGCGCACATGGATGGGCTTTGTGCTCCAGCACTGCAAAAACACGCGCACCACTCGAAACTGTCTTGCAACCCCACCGGAATTGAGTGAAGACGAGCTTGGAGTTTCAGGAAGACAGCACCTCAGCTTCAAGTTTGTGGTGACAATGTTTCGTGTCAGCCTGAGACATCTACAACTGTTTATGGGATTGTTCTGTTTACGGTCTACCTTTGTGCACAATCTTATAGCTACTCTGGTTACGCACGAAGTCCACACTTTGCTGAGGCATGTTGTTCAGGTGCCGGCTGTAGAGCTTCTCCTAATAACAAAAAGGTCCCCGGAGCACATCTTCGCCGTGACTATGGAGCAACACCATACGTTTCAGAACTGCACGGGACATTGTTCTTTTTGTAATACGATGTGCAAAATGCTAAGAAATATGCTTGGACGCATATATAGGAAGCCCAACGTAAGCGGAATCAGGTGGCTCATGGAAAGAGGTGACGATAGATGAAATAGCGAAGTTAATTAGACATCTGATTTACAAAGAGATAATTTATATCACGGGCTTCCATCTATGTTGCAACACCTGGAGGCTTTTATCGCAAGAAAACAAAAATTTACTCAGAAATCTTTAAGAGTTCATTTGAGTCTCACGAAAAACAGGCAATGCTTCACCGCATGGCACGAGCAATGAAACAGCACCTGGGTTCCAATTTTCTTTGTCTATGTGCATAAAAACATTTTGTACATTTATCATTTTTTATACCATTATTCTGTCATCTTCAAAATGTATGTTCTTAATTTTCTTTGTTTTGAACATTTTTGCACGTATATTGTTTTTTATTTTACTGTTTACCAGCTCGCAATTACACACTTTCCACATTTTTATTAATTTCAAAATGTTTTTATTGTTGTACAACATTTATTTTTTGGGAAGATCATTTCATTGTGCAAAATTTGGTGTGCTGCAATGTGTGCTGGAGTGCTTCTCAAACTGGCAAAAGTGATCTCCCTGAACCGCGCGGTAACAAGAGTTGACCCTTTGTGTTGTTCATAGGTGCCTGTAAAAGTGGCTGCCCTCAGAGCCCTGGCTGAACTGTTGAAGAGGCAACCACAACACTTCCACAATTATGCTGAGCTGACCTTGATTAAGATCTTCGGAACGTTCAAACAGTCCTGAAAGAGAGGTTGGTTGCTGTCTTTATCTAGAAAATAGCGATTTCAACTGTAATGAAGGTGGTATGGTTGTAGGGTGAACAGATCATCTTGATTGTTGCTTTGTTTGCAAAATTCAGTTTAGCAAATTCTCAAAGTCCTCTGAAATCAAATTCAGGGATCGCAAAATAATCTGTCAGATGGCCATCAGCAGAAACAACTTCTAAAAGCTCAAAGGGCAAATGGCATCGTTGACGAAGGTAATCACAAGCCCACTGACCTCTGGATGCGCTACAGGCAGTCGGCCAGCTGAGAGTCCAGTTTCTCCTCGTACGCGCACTAACTCTGCTTAGCTCGTATTCTTCGACACGATTGCACTATTCTTCATTCTTGGTCTGCATCGAGTGCACTTGGTCCTCGTGCTATGAAAACTGCGAAACATTATTATACAATGTCGCCCTCTCCATTTCGCATTCGTTTCGTTAGCAACACGTCTTTAGAATCGTTTTTGACATTCGGAAATTTAACTGGTTGTAAGCACCAACCACGCATGCTTCGATCCTTGAACACGCGAGGCTGCATGAGTGCAGCCCTTGAAAAGGGTCGTTTTGGTTATAGTGCGGATTGTGACTCATGTTATAAGCGGTCTATACTTTACTTTGTAGGCATGTGCGAATAGTGAACTAAGTTCAAAATGGATAATGATTTCGGTCGAATAATTACGAACCGAATTTGTATAGTGTATATCGCATACTATAAAGAAAAATGGCCGTATTTGTCATGACAACTAACCTGCAGAGTATTTTTTTTTTTTAATTGAAGGAAGGCCTGTGCAATCCTTTTTGGCTTCATAAGAAGTGGAAACAACTTTCAATTGTAGCAGGATTTGACTTTCAGTAGTATGCTAGCGATAACCTAAACACTATGTTATGTTTCAAAATTTACTATTCTTGGAGCATATAAGCCGGTATAACAAGCTTTTAAACTTGAAAAATTATGAGTTGATTTGAGGGTAATATGGTCATTTAACCTTAAAGTCGGGCTTCACAGCAGTGCTGATTTTTTTTAATAGGGTGTATTTACGGTTTAGCATTCCTTCATTGCAGTGGAACCATTCCTTACAATGGGTTACTTGTGAGTGAACACATTGATATAGATGCTTTCACCCCTTAACACCCCTCCACAGCAGTGAGACCTTTATAGGAGTTACATGCAGACCAATATACATCTATTCATTCATTTCTAATATTTGGAAAGGATTTTAAATTCAAGCCTAGGTGAATTCACAGTAACATTTTTTAGAATATTTGAAGCATTCTAATATTTGCCAAAGCTTAGTATTTTGCCATATCATATTCTTCCCGAGGCATAATTTTTTGGACTATAGATACCTGAAATTCTGATTTCCGAAAGTCAACATTTCTCCCATGTTCACATGAAATATGGAATACTCACATCAAGCTTTTTGTACTATGTATCACGTGTGTAGCTTTTCAAATTGATTGGGCGTGGTGTAACTATTGGGATGCATGCTCACAAGTCTTCAAAAATTTTCACTGTTCTTATTTTGGAAGAAAATATTCAATTTGATTTGTACTCGGACTTTAATATTCAAATTTGGATTTCACTGAAAATTTTGCTATTCGCACAGCTCTAGTTTTTAAGCTTTGTAAAGCAAGTTACAAATCAGTCCACATTTCATGTTAGAAAGGCGTAGTGTATTCTTTTCCTTTGTCGTGCAGAAATAAATATATTGGACAAAGTGGCGGTTGCATATATAGCGGACTTATTTTCACAGTTCCCAGAATATACCTGTGGTTGTGCACCTTCACTAGCTAGCTGTGCACAGTCTTCTGCAACAGAGATCATTGAAACGGTGAAAATCGCAAGAACAGTTTATTCTTTTGTAGACCTAACGGAAGTTTTTAATTAGAGAAAATGCAGTAATGTGGCTCTGCACATGTCAACGTACAACATTTCAAATCATTCTGCTGCACCCCTTGGTTATCGTTGCATTATATTTTGCTTTGTTGACCCAACCAGACCTCCCAGCACCTGTGCACACAGGTACGCAATCCGCCTTTGGGGAATAAATGTTCTGTTAGAAGTCAGCACATCATCTGGTTGTCTTAAACCGTGTCTTTTTCGTGCACCACAATGTTTCAGTGCTAGCAACAATTGAACCATACAAACGATTGGCATTGTGTCGATGCAAGACTAGGCAGCTGCACCCAAGTTAGTCAAGCCTTGTAGTCCGTGGCGTTCAGCCTTGCCGTCTCTGCTCGTAATCTGCAGTGCACGTTTGCTGTGTCTGTGCCCAGGTGAGCCGTGCCGCCGAGCTGTGTTCCATGGAGGCTGCTGCGGCGCTACCGCCGGAGCAAACCATGCGTCTCTTGCACTCACTCATTGGCGAGTCGGATGAGCAAGAATTGGTCATCGCTGCCATCAAGGTCATGTCTCGAGTGAGTTTCCATGGCACATCTGTGTTGCTTGGTTGCCCGTGCATGTCTAGTGAATTTTCAAGCTGGCTTTTACAAAAAGCATACTAATTCCTGGGCAGAATTTTTCAGTTTTGTGGGTATTCAGAGCACACCTCTACTAAGGAAATGGTGGACAGTGTGTTGGTTATTTTAATATGCTTCTTGCCCCCTTTCCCCTCCACAACTTAGTTTTTCGTTACTGCAAGGTAACTATGAATATTATTAAAGTGCAACTGGCTGATCCTTCAATTTTTCAAGTACTATCTATGTGGCATATCTTTTAAACTGCATCATATGACTACATGATATGAAGGCCCAGTATGCAAAAATGTGGTTTCAAATACAGTTGAACACGTTTATAACGAACTTAAACGTGCTGCAAAAAGTGGTTGTTGTATTAGTAGTTTATTTTGTTTGCACTCGCCTTTAAAAGCGTGCACTTAGCAACAAAGTCGTTCTTTTCTTCTGCACATTTTATTAAACTTCTAACAACATTGTTGGTACCAATTGGTAAACCTTTTCAGGTCTTCAAGCAACGCCCGCTGCATCTTTCGAGCGATTTAAACTGCCCTTACAATGAAGCCGCATCGTTTTATTGAACTACTACATGCATTCGATCATTCGTGACTAGTTGTGTGCAGCGCATTGCCTGCTCGATTTACACAGTCACCGCCCTGTCGTTTGCTGTTTACATGAGGCTGCACATTCTTCATGCCTGCTTCACTGCGGAGTGTGCACAAGAGGGGGAATCGGACTGTTTATTAAAAGTGGCGAAGACAGGCATTTTGCAAGCAATGTGCACTTCTCTGTGAAACATACCAGTCCTGCACGATTGTGCTGCGTGCCTAAAGGTGGACATTTGGCAGAAGTTTGCCTAATTGGGATAGAAACTAAAGGAATGAGAAAATGCAACCAAAATATAATGGGAACAAACCAGACATTTCAAAGCTGCTCCTGCTTCTTCCTCAGGGGTGAGAAGGCCTGAGATGTGCTGTGCTTATATACAGTTGCTTGTCGTGTGTGAGAGGCTCCCCGTGACTCTTCGTAAGCCCTGCCAGTAGAGGGAGGGAAATGTCCCCATGGAGAAGTTGATATGCTCTGCTGTCTGCTGAATGTGCCAAGATTCAAGGAGCAGTCGCTGACGAGGGTTCCTTTATTTTTCCAGAATCACCGCGTCATCAGCACGGATGTGGCGGTCAAACTGCTCGCAATGTTCTGCTGCTGCGCTTCGTTCGCTGTTCGATTGGCGGAAGTCGTGCTTTCTGCCTCATTATTTCAGTGAAATTTCTTCGTTTCCCCAGTGTAGGAAGTAAGGCAGTCGGCGCACGGAATCCGGTATTCGACGCCCTGAGATTTTTCAGCAGGTGCGCGATCTATGGGCCAAGGGATAAAGCTGCCGATGGTGGTGAATGGCTTATAGGCGACGTCGACCCCTGCCTTTTTCAGTATACGGGCAATTGCTTTGCTGAGACCGGCAACGTCGGGGACTGGTTTGCGGTGTCCTTGCGGCGAAGCAGGTGTCACATTTCCTTCATTGTTATTCTTGCGGAGGGCTCTATGAACAAATGCTTTTGTTTAGCCGTTGGCGCTGAGGTCACGAATTTTTTCCCTCTCCTTCTTCTATTGCTGTGGTGACAAGCAAATTCTTTAGGCCCTTCTAACAAGGCTTGGCATCACGGAAAGCTTGTGGCAGGTGGGGAGGTTCGAGCCGAACTGGAGGTCGCACTTTGAGTAGATGGGTTTCCTGAAAAAAAAAAAAAAAAAAACGCCAGGCTTGCGCGAGATGCGTGGCACAGTCACAGCGAAAGCTAGAAAAGCCGGTCTTTCAAAGCTATCTCTAAACACTCTGAGTGACTGCTAAAAGCACACTTGCTGGGTACCCAGTACGTCATGAATAATCACAATTTTTGTGTGGTAGGCCAGCATTCACTATGCTATCCTTATTCATTCCTCAGAGAAGCGTGGCGTCCGCTAAACACTTGCTCGGAACAACGATAAAAAATTATGCCTCAAGTTGATATGCGCCACAGTTAATAGGTGATCAAGAACAAGTTTTCTAATGAGTTCGATCATTGGACAACCCACTCGCTATGCAGTTCGCATTATGTGATGCCTGGTTGTTCCTGTGATGTCCTAAATTCCTCTATTACTCTGTAACGATTTTCCTGCGTCGTCTGGGTATCGGGCAGTAACGAGGCCGTTTATGCAATCACACAAAAAAATGTATTTACAAAAGACATGAAAGGTCTAATAATAAATGAAGTAAGGGAAAAAAATATAACATGCTTGGAATGCTGGTGTGAGTCACAAGGGCATAAAAACAGAAAGAGTTCACCGGAGAGGAAGGCGGTGGTCAAGTCCCGGCGGCAAACTCAACGCTGGGAAGGGACGGCTGACGCTTCGGTAGCCTGGTAAGTCCAATGACAGCCGCGGCCAAGAACGTGACTCACTGCAGAGGTCGTTGACCTGAAGCACGCATGGCGTTTGCCATGCCTATCTCGAACGCTGGCTGGCGCTCGCTGCCGTAGGTGCCGGACTCGCCTGGCGGAAACGTCCTGGCGACGTTTTGCCCACGCCAGGCCCAAACTGCAAGGACGGCTGGTATGGCCCCAGGTGGGAGCCTGCCGAGACCTCGAGCCCGCAACCCGACGGGTCACTGCTCCCACGCCCTGGTTCTTCAACCTTGCTTCTTCCTTCCAGCCTTATCTGCCTCACTCCTTCTTCTTCGCACCCCCACCTGCCCTGATTTTCCTGCGTCGTCTTCTTCGACTGTCTCTGTGGCGCGCACTTCAAACACAATTCTATCTTCACGATCACTCACGGCCACTTCACTCATCACATACTCACAACGAGAATTCCTTTCCCAACATTAGGCCTGCATAAGGCCAGTTTACAAATGAGTTCCAAGCACTGGCGTGGCTCAGGGGTAGAATGCTGGGCTGTCACGCAGCAGACCCGGGTTCGAATCTAATTGTGTCCTTGTTTTTTATTTATTGAGGCTTTTCTTCTTATTTCTTGCAATACTGGTTACAGACACCGGCAGTCAAGTGAGAGTAGAAACATTGCACACAGCGAGCGAAGGTCGCGAAACTTCCCACGCCAACCGACTACGATACAGTACCTCAAAGCCCAATCACGTGCACATGATTTTCAAGTGACTACGACTGGATTTGCTGTCAGCCATGGCTGTGGGGAAGGGCTTTTCGTCACACTTGGGTCACAGGTTTCTGGAAAGCCAGAAAAAATTGCTTGTCGCCCCAAAAAGGAGCGTGACGATTCCTGCAACATGGTAGCACCCCCGATCCTTGTTATCCGAGCATGCTTCACTGAATACAGTAGCGGCCTTACTCTGGTAATCATGGTTTGTTTTGATGCTTCGGTGGTAGCTTGCTACAATGTTGGTTACTTGCTACAATGTATACGGCGATTTCGGCAACATGGTAGCACTCCCGATTCTCACTCTGAATGCAATTTGCCCTTCATCCTTGTTATGTGCACATGCTTCACGGAACGCAAGATATAAGCTCTTCCTTCTTCAGTCACTTCTCATGTGGACAGCGAGTTGGCGGATGTATGTTGTTACCGACGATTTGTTTTGAATTTCGATGCTTCGGTGGAAGCTCTCTACAATATTGCTTACTTGCTGCAATGCCAATGGCATTGCCGCGATTGTCGTGCGAGGTTGCCACAGGGTTGGCAAAGTGCGTCGTAGCGTTCTGTTCTGGGCACCCCTCGAGATTGCAGGAGATACCACTGTTGCGATTAAATGATTGCGAGAAAAGAAAGCTGCGAAAGGCTTTTATGAGTGCTTGAGCGGCGCGGAGACAGCTTGCAAAAGATAGAGCTATCACCCACCGAAGATGAGAAAAGTACAACAAAGAAGCTGTTTCCAAGCAGTGTACGCATATGTCAATTGCAAAAGGCTGTTCGACCAAACTGTTTTTTTTTTTTTTGCATTACTGCATTTTTTGCTCATCCTGAAAAAGTTTCGTAAAGTTTGCCCTGTGTAATAAATGCACCCACAGCTTTGCTTCGATTTTTCAGGAAAGAAAGTGCGTTCTTTATGTGAGTAAATATGGTATGGTTGTTGTAACCAGTAGATCGTTATATCTGGGTTCGACTGTATAGTATTTTAACGTTCCATGCTCACTGTTAGCTGTTTATGTGACATGTATGGAAACAAATGCTTACTGCAGTGCAGACTCATCAATCTCTGAGACATAATTATTTTTTTCTGTTCGCTCATTGTAGCTTGTGGAGGTGCATCCAAAAAGGATAATTGTGGAACTTCTGCCTCAGATGATGCCGGTATTGTTGAAGGTAAGGCTGACAAATTACATTCTCAATCGCATCTTTTTTTACCCCTAGTATTATGTGTCTTGAGTTTTGGGATATGTAGATGGTTTTTTAGTTTCTTTAACCACAGATGAAGGGGGCCTACATTCATTAATGTTGGAAGTGATAAATGAATTTCGAAGCCACTTGTTTGGGGTTTCTGGATCTGAAGCTTAAATTTGTCACAGATCATATCTGCTGGGCGTACGAGCTAATAAGCCATTACTGCCATTCGAAGTAGATCTAATGCCACAACGTTCTTTATTATTGCCCTGAAAAAGTCGTGTTGCAATTTAATTTCAGGGAGCTTTAGTAAACACCTAAAACACCACCCATGACATCTGTTAATTTGTCACAGAATCTCTTCTAAAAAAAGCTAAAGAGTACAGAGGACCAGCATAATGCAAGGAAAATCTAAAGTTTACTCTAATACCATATATGCATGGGATCCCGCAGAACTTGAAAAGGATGAAAAGCATGGCAACGTTAGGCTGAGAAAGCTGTCAACCATGTGTGTAAACAAACCCACAGGCAGTTCCGCGCAATGAATTGTAAGCCTACCTTGGTAGAATGTGCAGAAAATGTTGTGTATTCTATCCCTGCGGAAAAAGGTATGTGGGCCAAACTGGAAGGTGCTTAAACATACGGTTGAAAAATAATGTGAAAAACGCTATTAGCGGTCATCTTGGCATCCATTGTAGGGGTTGTGGACAGCCCACCGAACTTTTGCGACACGAAGGTTCTTGCCAGGCACAAAGAAAGAAAAACAAGGAAATCGCACGCCATAAAGATAGGTGGGCCATCCACAACCCTCTCTCAGAAAGAAATTTTTTTATCTTTGAGATGAACACGCATGTTGGCAGTCTGAATGGTGATACAGTGACGTTGACGCCATGGTACAAATGCCTTTGCATTGTTAAATAAAGATCCGTTGTAAATCAGCACTTTGTCCTCTGCTTTTTCCCTGTCGTTTTTTACTATTTTTTGTATCAGCTCTTGTAACGGCAGTGCGAACTGGCGCTCATTGGCCGTGAAATGGCCCTTGCGCCACAAAACATCAAACATCGTCATGTAACGGCAGTGCACCAAGTATGAGCCTGTAAATGGGGACAAAAATTTGAGAGAAACGGGCTTAGCCGCTTTAGTGTTTTGGCAACAATAGTGAAAAGTTTCACGATGACTTTACCAGTCATCTTAGCAGTCATCTTTACCGATGTGCTGCCAGTGAATGGTTACGGAGCATGGCATACTGGTCCAAAAAGTTTTACCAAATGGCTTAGTCCTGTGCGAAGGGTCACACATCGTCGAGATTGCACTGGTAAAGTGTGGCCTGTGGGTGTATCCTGGTGGTGGTGCATGCTTGAACCAGCGGTACAAAAGTTATTGAGACCGAGAGTGGCTTCATCCTGCCTGGGGTTTCCTTTCCTGCTTGCTGCTGTGGTGCCTGGCATTGCAGGCCCTTCATTATGCTGTCATTCATTTGCAGGCGTACGACCACAACGAAAGTTCTGTTCGGAAGGCGGCAGTGTTTTGTATGGTGACGCTGCATGGCGTAGTTGGCTCTGATTTGATGAAGCCACACTTGGCTTCCCTTACGGGATGCAAGGTATGTGACTAGCTGTTTGCTGTATCACTTGTTCAGAGTGCAACAAATGCCAATAGCTTCAATGTAAGGAATACCAATATCAGCATTATCTGCTTTATTTCAAGTAGAGCTCTACTAATAAAATCGGCATAGTTTGTGTGCATCCATTGCAGAGAAGCATGGACTGCTGGGCGATTTGGCAATTTATCTTAAACTGAAGTACAAAAGGAAGACATCAACAACTGAGAATTTATTGGAACAAACAGACATAAGCAGTTACATGTAGAAGAAATGATTAGAGAGAGATTGTATTAATGACGCACTTACAGAAAGGCTGCCTCAGCGGCAACTAACACTCGTGAAACATGAATTAACTGCTTTGTTAGTAAAATACGATTCTGTGATTTTCAGTGCTACCGTATTCCTCAGTTCACTGTTGTATCACTGAGCCAGGGTGCGCAGCCACATTCACTACAATTCAAAGAAAGGTTAGAGCACCGTTGTCCCTTCAGAGAAGGTGATCCGTAAGCCTGTCATTTACACAATGCCCTGTCTGTCCATAATAACGCTTCGCACACGGTAGCGGAATGGTGTTGTACACCACAGCCCAATCAACCTCTTTGTCCCTGTGCTTGGCCTGGCAAAAATCCTTGCCTTGTTTCTCACCATCGAGCTTCCTCTGCATCGCCGCACAAACGTTTGCCAGCCGAAAAGAAAACATTGCATGCATACCTCACTCCCACTTAACTCTTTTGTTACCATGCCTATTCAAATAATCACCAGTGGTCGACACTTTGGGTCGTCGATTTTTGCCTGTTGAATTGGTTTCTCGAGAACCGAATACTTTTTAAATGTTAGTCCAGCCACTAGCTAATGGGGGGAGGGGTCTATTCACTTCCACGCCTAGCCGTGCGTGGCTTTGCTGTGTCTGGGGAAAAGGGGAGCCTAGGGGTTGAGCAGACAGCCGGGTGATTGGACCTTTAAAACCTTCCGGCAGAGGCAACAGACCCCTTTGGCCCCGGTTTCACATAGACGGCACCACTGGGCTGACCCACCCAAGGGAAATCTGCAGTCGCCTTTTCCTATTTCTCTCTCACTACATCTTCGTCTCTCTTCACACTTTTTATCTGTCCTGTCATCTTCTCGTTTCTGATTACTTCTGAATTTTCTGGCGGCGAGGGTTAACCTGATCAAGCTATCCAACCTCGCGAAATTGTACCAGGTTATAGCGACGATGCATGGCTGGTGTCTCCAAGTGTTTGTTGTTCAACCTTGTAGTGCCCTTGTTGGGCTCTGTGGTGGGTGGGGACCATCGCCGTTGAACTTTAGTTTTTTAAGGCAAGTAACTTCCCGTTCCGCCACCGCCCCCCCCCCCCCCCTCGTGATCACTCCCTGAAAAGGTAGCACACCGAAGACACATTCATGCTCAACACACCAAAGCTGACCTTCCCAAAATACCACGTTATCTACAGTCAAAATGAGAAGACAGTCCGAGCCATTATAAAGTGACAAAGATGGGAAGTGCAGATCTTCTTCTCGAGGTTCGTGACAAAGCTCAGTATGATTAGCTGTCTAAACTTGTAGCATTTGGGGAAACCCCTGTTTCGGTGGGCCCACACAGGTCAATGAACGCTGTATGTGGCGTGATTTCTGATGATCTCACTGAACTTTCTGAAAGTGAACTGCTCGAAGGTTGGCAGGACTAGAACGTGGTCAAAGTCCAACGAATCACAATAAGGTGCAACAACAAACAGACCCCTACAAAACACATTATAATTACATTCGGTACTAGTTACTTACCGAAATCAATTGAAACTGGCAAATGTAAGCTCCGCGTAATACCATACATTCCCAATCCTCATCGATGTTTCAAGTGTAAAAGTTTCGGGCATGAATCGCAGAGTTGCAGAAGGCGCGCCACTTGTGCAAAGTGTGCATCCGTACAACACATATCCGACAATTGCACCTCAGAAAAAAACTCATTGTCCCAACTGTGGAGGAGATCACGCTGCCTACTCAAGATCATGCCCCACATGGAAAAAAGAGCAACAAATAGTCGAACTTAAGGTCAAATTTAATCTGCCATTTCAAGAAGCACATCAACAGTTCGCACCACACAACCAGTTTTTCCCCTCCTTCGCCGATGTGACGCGCCGGGGCGCCGTGCCACACCTTTCTGCACCTGCAAATGTCACAAAGAGTGTGGCCGCCGTAGTGCCACCAGTGCCCCCGGCTGGAGCAGCCTGTACTGCTCTGCCATCTGACAAACAGTGTCGGCAGACCCCCATGTCTGCTGGACCTCAGACCGCTGCAAGCGAGTTAGGTCCGAAAGTTCTGTGCCTGCCGAGCAGGCACCATCCACCACCTCACAAGAGGTGATGGATACAAGTCTCACTCCTCCGGCGCCTCAGACACCGAAGGATAGGCACAACTCTTTGAGCGCACCAAGAAAGAAAAGCCCCGAATCACGGGGCCCCCAAAAAGCCCTGTAACCTAACGCAACACTTTTGTACACACAGCACCACACATTAAAATGACACAAATACTACAGTGAAACGTCAGAGGACTGTTGCGAAACCTCGATGATATCCAGAAACTTTTACACAAACATACACCTAAAGTGCTTTGCATTCAAGAGACACACCTAAAATCTAAACACACCAACTTTTTATGTCATTACGTTATTGTTTGGAAGGACCAGAATGATGCCATTGCCATCCAGCAGTGTTGCCATATAGTCAATCAAGGGATCGCATGCACACACCTACCACTACAAACATACCTTGAGGCGATAGCTGTTCGAGCAGTTCTTTTAAATAAGCTCGTCACCATGCTCTCTCTACATACCTTCACAACACAGTCTTGGAAAGCATGAATTTCAGTTCCTCATAGATGAACTTCCAGAATCCTACCTTGTCTTAGGGGACTTTAATGCGCATGGTAGCCTCTGGGGTGACCCTCGCTGCAATGCACGAGGTCGCCTGATTGAACAGTTTTTTTTTTCTTCCGGTGCGTGCCTTCTGCATCGAAAAGAGCCAACATATTACAACATCGCTAACAGTACATATTTAACAATCGACCTCAGCATAGCATTTCCATCACTCCTGCCTCTACTTGAATGGGAAGTCATTAGTAATCCATACGGTAGTGACCATTTTTTTATTGTTATCAGCACATCAATAACAAATACATGTCCTGCACAGGTTCCCAAGTGGCTCACCGACAAAGCCGATCAGTTTCAAAAAACGACTCTATTAACTTGGACTGACATGGGGCGTTAAGCATTGAGGACGCTGTGTGCTACTTTACAGCTTTCTTGGTTGATGCAGCAACGAAATGTATGCCACTAACATGTAGACCGTCAGGCAAACGACAAGTCCCATGGTTGAATAATGAGTGCTGTGATGCGCGTAAAGAACAAAATAAGGCATGGAAGTTGCTTAGAGACTCCCATACATCCGAAAATCTTGTAAACTTTACGAACATCAAGTCGCAAGGAAGGAGGACGTGCTGACAGGCGAGAAGGGAAAGTTGGCACAAATTTTTATCAGGCATTAATTCATACACAGATGAGGCAAAAGTCTGGAACATGGTCGGTAAGGTGGCAGGACGAAAAGGACATTCACTTCCTCTAGTGAGCACACAAGGGGAGAGTTTGGAAGACCAGGCTAACACTCTCAGAGCGCAGTTCGAACAGGTCTCCAGCTCATCACACTATAGTGAAGCATTTCGATGATACAAAACCAGAATAGAAAAACAGCGATTAGAGCGCCAACCCACAACACACGAGGCATTCAATGAACCTGTTTGGCTGAACTACAAGCCTCACTTACCTGCTGCAATAAATCCACCCCAGGCCCAGACCATGTGGCATATGAAATGTTAAAACACCTGCCCACTGAAACCCAGAAAGCTCTCCTCCCCCTGTATAATACAATATGGTCTTCCGGTGAGCTACCCTCAGCCTGGAAGGAAGCTATCGTTATCCCAATTCTAAAACAAGGCAAGGACCCGTCCTCAGTTTCCAGCTACAGGCCAATACTGTTAACCAGCTGTCTTTGGAAGGTCTTTGAGAAAATGATTAACAGGCGCCTGATGCACTTCCTTGAAACTAATAGCCTGCTTGACCCATGCCAGTGCGGGTTTCAAGAGGCTAAGTCGACTACTGACCACATTGTCCGTATCGAGGCACAAATTCGCGACGCTTTTGTTCATAAGCCATTTTTTCTTTCTGTGTTCCTCGATATGGAAAAGGCATATGACACTACATGGTGCTTTGGCATATTGCGAGACCTGTCACATTTAGGGGGAGACACGGGTATGGGAGGCCGAAAAATTTCCGAAAAACCGATTTTTTGAAGTATTTTTTTTCATAATCATTAAGGTCTAAGGAAGCTGTTCCTAGAATATTATAGCCCTGTAATGCGTATTTGTCGAGTTATTGGGTCGCAAAGTCAGTTTGATAACCATTTTCGCTTCCGAAACCACCTCAAAAACGGTCGAATTCAACGCCGCAACACGCGAGAACTGCACCAAGTAGCGCGGCCATTTTGGTCTCATTTTAAAGACGCGTTTTTTCCTATTATCTGTTCCTAGCAGAAGAACGTTTTTCGTCTAGCAACAATGCAGCTATCGCGCATAAAGAAAAACTGAATACTCGCACACCATTGGTGCGTTTTTGTCACGTGGGGCAGTTCCCGGTTTCCTATTGGACGCGAAGGGATTCTTCTGCTAGACAGCGGCGTGCAAGCCGCCATTTTGCCTAACAACGGCTGTGCATTCGGTGCAATGGCAGGCGGTCATCGGAAGTTCTGGAGTGCTCATGCGTTCGGAAAAAGGCGAAAACGGCGTCCGAGAGCCCACACCTTATCACCAGCAAGACCTTCTGCCGCCGGGAACTCTGAAGAAGCAGGCTGTGCCAGCGCTATCACCGCCGCGGCACCCGCGATAGCCGCGTCCCAAGATCACACGAGAGCTGTGCGCGTCGACACTCCCCTGGTTTCCGACGCTGAAAAAGTGGCCATCGAGTGTCG